AAAAAAATTAATGCCTCCCTGAACAGCAAAATCCTGGCTATAGGCCTAGTCAGAATATAACTGCCATGATCTTAAAATGGGCAATGACTGCTGAGTGGGGCTTCCTGTGTTTATGAGCGGCCGCTCAGGAGAGCCCCCAGAGTAACAACTGATTTCCAGACCCTTCTGACTCAAACTCCACTTCAAGGTAAAGGGGTTTCCCTTGCTCGAAAGCCAGTCGAATCCAACTCTAGGGATGCGGTGCTCATCTCCGTTTCTAAGCCGAAGAGCCAGCGCTGTCCGAAGAAGTTTCTGTGGTCATGTGGCCGGCATGACTAGACACTGAGGCACATGGAACGTTGTTGCCTTCCCACCAAAGTGGTACCCATTTATCTAACTTGGATTTTTTTTTCTTTCAAACTGCTAGGTTGGCAGGAGCCGGGGGCAGAGACGGGAGCTCACTCCGTCATGCGGCACTCGGGTCTCGAACCGCTGAACTACCAACCTTCCGGTCTGCAGCTCAGCGTCTTAACCACTTCTACTAAAGCTGAATATGATTCGATCTTAGATACAATATTAATCGTTTATTGATGTGTTTAAAGTTACTGGTTATCCTTTGTGTCGTGTTCGTTTTATCTCTTTGCATTTTCGCTGTTTCTGTTACTGTTGTTGTCATATGCAACTGTTCCATATGTTGATTTGTATGTCACTTGTTTTTGCTGGTCAACAATAAAATTTACCAAAAAATTGGGGGGGGGGGTGTGTGGAGAAGGATTGAGTTTGGTCCTGCCTGAAATCCGGCCCTCCTTTTATAAAGACTCTAGAACCTTACAGTCGCCAAAAACTTTGCAGTAGAAACAGTACGAAATAAGGCATTTCTGGGGACGGCCGGTAAACATCATGGTGAAGCGGGAATTTGAACCCAGGTCAGAGTCCAACGCTGTAACCACTACACCACACTGGCTGTGTGCCAGTGCTCTGTGCTCTCCAAGCATTCCTTCACCACCACCCCCGCTGCTCTGTTACTGGCTTCAGAGGAGGAGAGCCAGCGTGGTGTAGTGGCTAAGAGTGATGGACTCTAGTCTGGAGAACCAGGTTCGATTCTGCACTCCTCCGCTTGAAGCAAGCTGGGTGACCTTGGGTCAGTCACAGCTCTGTCAGAGCTCTCTCAGCCCCCAAAATAAGTCTAGCTCGCCACCTAGTGTGCATAATGCTAAAAGAGCTAGAACTTCAGGCTGCCAAACAATCTTAAAAGCTCCTGGTTATATTACACAAATTATTGTTGTTGTTATTGTTCTTCTTCTTCTTATTATTATTATTATGCAATGTTGTTGTTGTTGTTGTTGTTGGCTTCAAGTCTGCTGGCAGACCTGAAGAGGTTCCCATTCTGGGCTCAGTGATTCCATCTTGTGGTTTTCTTGGGAAAAAGGGAGCGGTGGCGCAGGCAGTAAATGAAGCCTGCATTTCCATCTGGCCGAACAGCTCTAGCTGTTCGAGCCCCACCGTAGCCGGGGTGAGCTCCCGGCCCATGTCCCAGCTCCCGCCCACCCAGCGGCTCGAAGGCCCGTTAAAGGGCAAGTAGACAAATGGGTACCTGCTCTTAGAGCGGGGGGCACCCGTCCTTCGTGGTAGCGTGGCGGCAGCATGAGCGGCGGAGCGGCAGCAGCGGAGAACATGGCGGCGGTGGCGAGTCGAGCGAGCGGAGGCTGGGCTGACAGAGCACGGAGGCGGGGCGACGCAGCAGGCTGGAGCCTATTGGACAGAGGCTGCAGCAGGCGCACGTGCTGATGTACACTTGGCCCAAGCCCGAGGAATCGCGGCGACCGAAGGAAGACCTGCGCCAGGAAGACGCCGTTGCCGGATTGGAAAAGACCTCCCGCAGAGAGACAATAACAACAAGACTTCGCTATAGGGTGCCTGTTAGGTTAGTCACTTCCCTTCATTGTATGTGTGTGGCCCTTAGGTAGGAATTGTATGAATTGCATAATGTAAACCGCTCAGAGCCCTTAGGGGGTGAGCGGTATATAAATCGAAGGAATAAATAAATAAATATAAATAAATAAATAAGATGGGGTGGGTTGGGGGAAAATACATCATCTCACAGCTTACCCTCCCTCACAGCATTCTTGCTGGGTTGAACTGGGGAAGGCTGAGCACCTTAGAGGAAAGATGGGATGCAAATGTGATAGACAGAGGAGAAAGAGAAAGTTTTGCCTGTTGCATTTCTGCCTGTCTTGGATCTGTTAACATCACAAGGAGCCCTGAGAGAAAGGTGCTGAGAGCCACTTTGGTGTATCGGTTAGGAGCACGGACTCTAATCTGGGAAAATCGGGTTTTATTCCCCACTCCTCCACATGCAGCTGGCTGGGTGACCTTGGGTCAGTCACAAGTTCTCTCAGAGCTGTTCTCTCAACGACAGTTTTTGGGAGAGCTGTCTCAGCCCCACCTACCTTATAGGCAGTGTTCCCTCTAAGCTGAGTTAGTGTGAGCTAGCTCACAGTTTTTTAGACTCTGGTTCACAGATTTTTGTTTTAGCTCAGTAAGGATGGCTCCGGAGCAAACTCATTTATGCAGTAGTCAAATTGCTCACTCAGAACTTTAATGCCAGTAGTTCACAGGGCAGAATTTCTGCTCACAAGACTCCACAGCTTAGAGGGAGCGTTGCTCACAGGGTGTCTGTTGTGGGGAGGGAAAGGCAAAAGGAGCTTGTAAATCAATCTGAGACCTCTTCAGGTAGTGAAGGGTGGGGTATAAATCCAATCTCCTCCTCCTCCTCTTTTTCCTCTTCTTCTTTAATGTGCTGCAGCAGTTAGACTAGGACTTAAGAGTCCTGGGTTCGAATCTTCTTTCAGCTGTGAAGCCAACTGTGTGCCAGTCACTCTCTCAGCTAAGGTTGCCAAATGAAGGGGGGGGGGGTCTTGTCTAATAGCATTTTAAGGTGCAGTAACAGAGAGGCGAAGCTTATTTTGTGAAATAATAGCATAGGATAACCACTGCAGCGCAAACTGATATTAGGGACGGCTAGGGGGACTGGTTTAAAAGTTAGCATCCTTGCTCTCAGGCTGTCCTGCATTACAAGACTGTTGTGAGGAAATGAAGAAATGGAGAATGCACTGAAAGAGGAGGCAGAAATCCGGTTTCGGGGGGGGGGGAAGGCCATGCATGCCTGCTGAAAGGCTCTGATAGATGGGGGGTGCACTGGTTAGGTTACCAACCTCCAGGAGTGGAAAAAAACAAGAAGAGATCACAGGTATAGGAAATGCAACAAACAAACACTGTGATATAGATGACAACACATGTTAAGGGAGCGGTGGCGTAGGCAGTTAAACGCCTGCACTGTAACATCACCTGAGCAGCCACCATGGCTGTTCGAGTACCACCGCGGTCGAGGTGAGCTCTCGACCTTCGTCCCAGCTCCCGCCTACCCAGCGGTCTCGAAAGCAACCTAATTGCAAGTAGGTAAATGGGTACCCACCCTTAGAGGGGTGGGGGGCACCCTGTGTGGTTGGCTGAAGATGGCGGAGATAGCGGAGACAGCGGCAGTGGCGGCAACGATGGCGGCGGCGGCGATCCTGGCGTGGACGGCATTGGTGGTGCGGCGAGCAAGGCGGCGGCGAGCAAGGCAAGGTGCGCGTTTGAGCGATCCCTGGCAGCGGAGAAGGAGTACACCGAGGGCTGCCGTGAAGAGAGAAGAAAGGGGCGTGCGCAGATGCCGAGTTCCGGCTCAGCGGAGCCGGAAAGGACGTGGCTGGGCCGGAAAGTAGGCGGAGCTGTGCGCCTAAGGAGGAGATCGCCACCACTGAATGCCGGAGACGCCAGAGAACGCCAGAGAAAGAACAACCCGCTGGACCAGGAGACCCGACCATGCCGAGTCAACGGAGAAACAGCGATAGCCACCACAGAGGGGGTGCCGGTAGGTTGTCCCACCCCCCCTTCATACATTGTGGCCCTAGCTAGGAACACAGGTGATTAGCACCAGAAACCCTGTAAGCCGCTCTGAGACCCTAGCCATGGGACAAGAGCGGGATATCAAGTCTAATGTAAATAAAAAAATAAAATAAATTAAGTAAGAATCATATATATTGTAAAACTTGGCAATATTACAGGTCCATCATTCTCAATAAGTATCCGGATACAGACTCATTTCGTCCCAATCTTCCTCCGGAGTCATCCTATAGTAATGAAGGTGTCAGCCTCTTGCTAAAGTTCAATGTTCTGTTTAAGAGCAACCCAATGTTTAACTCTTCTTTAGATTTTTCACATAATCCTGAAAAATAACCCATGGTATTTTAAACGAACAAGCAACATGAAGCGGAATGGAATATTATACTACCTTTTCGTATTAATCTATAATTTGAATTATTTAGTTTTTAATTTTTTTTTTAAACTTACTTCTGGTTCCACGTTCAAGTGTTTATAAAGGAGCAAGCCAGTCTTGTCTTCTTTTATATAGGTGCAAAAGCCTCCTGCGTTTTTTTAATTGTTGCTGAACCTCCTGGAGATCTCCTGGCATGACTACTGACCTTCAGGCAGCAGAGCTCAGTTCCCCTGGAGAAAATGGTCGCTTTGGGTCGTGGACTCTCTGGCATTACACCCTGCTGTGGCCTCTCCCCGGGGCCCCACCCTCCAAATCTCCAGGGATTCCCCAAGCTAGAGTTGGCAACGGCAGGCGAGCTCCACTTGTTCTCCTGATGCGAGCAGAAAGTTTGCCAAGGATTTTAAAAGGCAACCGGCAATGGATGTCAACATGCAGGTAATCATAAATCCTTGGCCGACCCTCTCCTTTCTCATTCCCCTCCCCGCCAGCATCTGTTCATTATTTAGCCTTTTCTTTCCTTTGAAGCTCCCAACTCTTCTCTTTGATTGGCTGGCGCCGAAGAGCCGTGCGCCTCCGGAGCCCTGACGCGCGTCATGACGCACGGGGGACCAGCCTTGGCCTGCGAGGATGATGGAGGACGCTCCCGTCCAATCAGAGCTTCGGGAGAGCTTATTAGCATAATAAGCCATCGGGGGAGGAGGGGAAAGGGGGGTGGCTTCCCTGGTGAAAGAGAGACCGAAGAAAAAGCAAGAAACGGAAGAGGAAAGTTTTGGGGGGAGAGAATGGGGTTTTGTTATATTTGCAGCTGGGAAATGGGGAGGGGGGGATCTTGGAGCCAAGGGGACTGGGGGGGGGGTCGATCTGCGAGGGCAGGAGATGCAGGAAGCAGAAGGGATCTAAGATTTGGGGGGAGCAGAACTTCGGGGGAAAGATAATAGGGGTCACTGGGGGGGGGCGGTCTTTCCCCATCCCCAGAGGTAACTCCCCTTTTTTTCCAAGTGGGTCAGCTCGTGGGATGGCGTTTTGTAGGTTCCCGACCCTTTTAGGTAGCACCCCCCATCTCGATTGTCCTCCGGTGTTCCCTCTAAGCAGAGTTCGTGTGAGCTAGCTCACAGTTTTTTTAGCCTCCGGCTCGCACACTTTCGTCTTAGCTCAGGAAGGAGGGCTCCAGAGCAAACGAATTGAGGCAGGAGCCGAATCGCTCGCTCACGACTTTAATGCCCGGAGCTCACAAAGTGGAATTTTTGCTCACAAGAACTCCACAGCTTAAGAGGGACCCTTTCCACTCGGTCCGATCTGCTGATCTGGTTTAAAAACTCGGGGGCTTGGGAAACTGCCGTCTGCCAGGACCGCCGGCAATTTAAACATTATTCATGGCTTTATTATGGGCGACTGTAATCACGCGTACTTAACATGTAGAATTCGCCATCACCGGTTATGAGCTTAGGAAGATGCCTTATGCAGAGGCCGACCATTGATCTGTCTGGCTCGACCCTGTTTCTCTGGCAGCTGTCGAGGGACAAGAAAAGGAGAAATACCTGAGATCCCTCAGCTGGAGAGCGAATTTAGGATTTCCAGGTGCACAAAGCAGAGCTTCAGCCTTGGAGCCAATGCTCCCTCTAAACTGTGGATTCCTGCGAGCAAAAATTCTGCTTTGTGAGCTCCTGGCACTGAAGTTGTGAACGAGCGATTTGGCTGCTGCATAAATCAGTCTGCTCTGGAGCCATCCTTCCTGAGCGGAGACAAAAATGCATGAACCGGAGGCTAAAAAACTGTGAGCTAGCTCACATTAACTCAGCTTGGAGGGAACGCTGCTTTGGAGCCAGGGCTCCTGTCTGCAAAATCTAGATGGACAGAGAAAGCTGCCTCAGACAGATGACCCAATCAATGCTCCCTCTAAGCTGTGGAGTCTTGTGAGCAACAATTCTACTTTGTGAGCTCCTGGCATTAAAGCTGTGCGCGAGCATCAATTCGTTTGCTCTGGAGCCATCCTTCCTGAGCTGAGACAAAAATGTGCGAGCCGGAGGCTAAAAAATGGTGGACTAGCTCACACTAACTCGGCTTAGAGGAAACACGGGACCCAATCTTGAGTCTTGAAGAGCAGCCTCTTTCCAGGATCATAGGCTGGGAAGGATCATTCGCGTTGCCCTGAAACCCTCTTGATTTAGACACCAGGGACTGAGCCAGAGACCTCTGGCAAGCAAAGCAGATTCTTTACTGCTTTTTTTTGAACCCTGCCCCCCCAATGACATTTTAAAGGTATAAAGGTATTCCCTGCTGTCTCCACCCTGAAATTCAAACCCGCAGGAAGGGGATTTCCCAGTCACACCACCATGCCCACTGTAAAATGCTACAAGAGCTCCCTGGAGAGATTCACAAAAGGGTTCCACAAAAGCACACTGATGGCGAAATGGAACCTTCATGTGCAGAGGCAGCCCCCTTTGGAGGACTCAGGCCTGGGGCCGAAACACAGTGGAAGGGTGTCGACTTCAGAGGCCTGTCATCAGCCTCTGGGAAACATTGTCCAGAACAGAAATCTGGATTGTGTGGACTCGTAGGGTTGGGTTCCATGAATCCGGTCCATTAGTGGTGAGACTTCCCTCCCATTCAGGGAGTCTTCCCTTCATGCAAAAAGGCCTTTGGAGCCTCTTGCCCTGTGCGGGTGCTTCTCGAGTTGAAGGAAAGAGCCGTGGTAAGGGGCTCCACAGCACCCAGCCGACAGTTTTGCTCTGTGACTTTTTTTATTCCGATGGAGTTTACCCATGTGAGAGGCATTTGGAAAGGAAAAAGAGGCTTCCTGTTATGTGGGAATCTGCCGCAGTCATTCACCGCATCTTTCCCAGGGCAGGTAAGATGGGTAATAACGCAGAGCTGTCTTTTTCCAGGTTCCTCAGCGTGATCAGCCGTCAACAGCTCTCGATGTGAAGAACCAGCGATGTCCCACAGCGCCAAACAGCAGGCCGCTGCTCTCCTGTGAGTATTAGAGCACCTTTTTTTCTTCTGTCGGACACAAGAAGAGCCTTGCTGGATCGGACCAGTGGTCTATCTGGTCCAGTATCCTGCCTCACACAGTGGCCAACCAGTTCCTCTGGAGGGCCAACAACAGGGCAGAGAGGCCGAGGTCTTCCCTGATAAGAACTTAAGAAGAGCCCTGCTGGATCAGACCAGTGGTCCCTCTAGTCCAGCATCCTGCCTCACACAGGGGCCAGCCAGTTCCTCTGGAAGGCCAACAACAGGGCAGAGAGGCCGAGGTCTTCCCTGATAAGAACTTAAGAAGAGCCCTGCTGGATCAGACCAGTGGTCCCTCTAGTCCAGCATCCTGCCTCACACAGGGGCCAGCCAGTTCCTCTGGAAGGCCAACAACAGGGCAGAGAGGCCGAGGTCTTCCCTGATAAGAACTTAAGAAGAGCCCTGCTGGATCAGACCAGTGGTCCCTCTAGTCCAGCATCCTGCCTCACACAGGGGCCAGCCAGTTCCTCTGGAAGGCCAACAACAGGGCAGAGAGGCCGAGGTCTTCCCTGATAAGAACTTAAGAAGAGCCCTGCTGGATCAGACCAGTGGTCCCTCTAGTCCAGCATCCTGCCTCACACAGGGGCCAGCCAGTTCCTCTGGAAGGCCAACAACAGGGCAGAGAGGCCGAGGTCTTCCCTGATAAGAACTTAAGAAGAGCCCTGCTGGATCAGACCAGTGGTCCCTCTAGTCCAGCATCCTGCCTCACACAGGGGCCAGCCAGTTCCTCTGGAAGGCCAACAACAGGGCAGAGAGGCCGAGGTCTTCCCTGATAAGAACTTAAGAAGAGCCCTGCTGGATCAGACCAGTGGTCCCTCTAGTCCAGCATCCTGCCTCACACAGGGGCCAGCCAGTTCCTCTGGAAGGCCAACAACAGGGCAGAGAGGCCGAGGTCTTCCCTGATAAGAACTTAAGAAGAGCCCTGCTGGATCAGACCAGTGGTCCCTCTAGTCCAGCATCCTGTCTCACACAGTGGGCAACCAGTTCCTCTGGACGGCCAACAACAAGGGCATAGAGGCCAAGGCCTTCCCCTGGTCCTCCGGCACTGTAATTTCGAGATGTATATGGTCAGAGACATACATTCATACACACACACACACACACACACACACACACACACTTAATTCTTTATACCTCCCCTTTTCAGTAAAAGAATATTTTTTCTCCCAAAGATGACTTCAATATAATTTTTGAAAATTGCCATGGTCAGAGATGCCAAAGATGACTTCAATATAATTTTTACTAGAACCTTGTAATGAAATCAAAAACTAGATCAACCATCAACAGCCCCATAAATAACAGAGAAAAATGTATCAGTTGTTTCTTCTTACTGAAGCCAAAGATGAAAACAGCCGGGGTTACAACCAATGTTCCCTCTAAGCTGTGGAGTCTTGTGAGCAAAACTTCTACTTTTTGAGCTACTGGCATTAAAGTGGTGAGTGAGGGATTTGGCAACTGCATCAGTTAGTCTGCCCTGGAGCCCTCCTTCCTGAGCTGAGACAGAGGTGGGTGAGCTGGAGGCTAAAAAACTGTGAGCTAGCTCACACTAACTCATCTTAGAGGGAACACTGGTTACAATCTCCAGGGTTGTCAGAGAACTCCATTTACACTCAGGCACCCCAGGCAGGGAGGAGGGGGGCCCTTGACTGGGAGGAACTTCACTGGGGTGCTCTGGATCTCAGGAGTGGGGGAGGACTGCAGACTTGCATGGTTTATTTTGGACATTCCATAAATAAAGCTAATCTTTTCTGATTCATGAGACTGGGGTTATTTGCTCCAGATTAATGGTGTGTGTGTGGGGGTGCAGGGGTGTTTGGTGTAGTGGTTAGAAGCACGGACTCCAATCTGAGAGAACCAGGTTTGATTCCCCACTCCTCCACATGCAGCTGCTGGTGTGGCCTTGGGTCAGTCACAAGTTCTCTCAGAGCTGTTCTCTCAGGAGTAGTCCTCGAAATTTCAGTGGGTGTCCTTGGACCAGTCCCTCCGCCTAACCTACCTTGCAGAGTTGTTGTAAGGATAGAACAGAGGAGAAGAGAGCTATGTATATCGCCTCGAACATCGTGGAGGAAGGAAGGGCAAGACTGAAACAGACAGATGGATGTTCTGGTCTGATCTAACTAGGTTCTTTTTACACAGCTAACTACCCAAAACAGCACTTATTTTTAAGAAGGAATTTTATGACAAATATGCAGTCCCCCCCTTTCTTTCCTGCAAGGTTTGTTTAATTAATTTCTACCCCACCTTTCTTTTCAGTGGTGACTCAAAGGAGCTCACATCCTTCTCCTCTCTTCCATTTTATCCTCACAACAACCCTGTGAGGTAGGTTAGGCTGAGTGATTGTGACTGGCTCAAAGTCACCCAGTGAGCTTCCATTTGGTGTAGTGGTTAGGAGCGCAGACTCTAATCTGGGAGAACCGGGTTTGATTCCCCACTCCTCCATATGCAGCTGCTGGCGAGACCTTGGATCAGTCACAAGTTCTCTCGGAGCTGTTCTCTCAGGAGCAGTTCAAGAGAGAGCTCTCTCAGCCCCGCCTACCTCACCCGGTGTCTGTTGTGGGGAGGCGAAGAGAAAGGAGATCGTAAACCGCTCTGAGACTCCATCGGGTAGTGAAGGGTGGGGTATAAATCCAATCTCCTCCTCCTCCTCCTCTTCTTGTTCTTTTTCTTCCTCCCAGGGGATTCAAACTGGTTGATGGAATTTGCTTCAGCTCGATAGTGTCTAAATCTCTTTCCTGAATCCTGGGTAGATGGAGGTGTGCTGGTGTTTTTGCCTCTGTAGAAATCAACACTATAATTGGGTGTGCTTCGATTGCAGAAACGCTGCTGGGAAAACCCAGCATGGAAGCTTCCTGGTGGCTGTTAAGCAGGAGAAAGGGGAGCCCCCACGGCCTGTTGGCGAGAAGCCCCATGGCGAAGAGGAGGTGAGCCCCCTGGTGCGTTCACCTGGCCTTTTCTTCCCCCATCTCCAGCCTGTGGGGATGGGACTACTGGCGTCCGGGGAGATTTGGATGGGTCCTTAATAGTTCTAGACTCATTGCTCTTCTCGCTGGCTTCCATGGCGAGATTTTGACTGGCCCTGGTGGGTGACCTTTCATGAGAAGGGAATGGAGAAGTGGTGGCGGCTACAAGCACGGACGGCTTCAAAAGGGAATTAGATAAGCATATGGAGCAGAGGCCCATCAGTGGCTATTAGCCACAAGGTCTAGATAGGGGCTCTGGGGCAAGTGATGTTCTGTCTTCTTGGTGCTTGGGGGGGTCAACAGTGGGAGGGCTTCTGATGTCCTGGCCCCACTGGTGGACCTCCTGAGGGCACCCTGGTATTTCTGGCCATTGTGTGACAGAGTGTTGGACTGGATGGGCCTTTGGCGTGATCCAACATTGGCGTCTCTTATGTTCTTATGAGAGGCAAGTAGGAATTTGGGGGCCACAAAATGAAAGTGCATCACTCGATATAATCCAAATGGTTTGGGGGGGAAATCCTGTGAACTGGAAACAGAACTTAATGGCTAGGCAGCTCCCAGTTCTGCACTGAGAAATCTTTCTGCAGTGTGCATAAATTATGCAAAACCAGGCCTGTCGATACAGTGGGGCTCTTGGGGGCTCTGCCCCCTTTCTTAAAGGCACAACCCCACAAGAATTTCTCCTGTAAATGCTTTTTCCAATCATTTTTAAAGGTGTGTGTTCTTTAAGCAGAGTGGGGGTGCCGTAGTTGACTAATTCCCGCATTGAGGAAGGGGGGGTTGGAGTAGGTGACCTCTAGGATCCCTTCTAACGTTGTGTCAAGAAACTGGTCTCCTTTAAGAGGGTTTTTCTGCCTCAGTGTTAGCTTTCTTGACTACAGAAGTCATCACCCCCACCTGCTGGCCTGTTCTCAGAATTGTTGCTTGGGCTGGCAGGAGTGATTAACTTGCAGCAGTTGAGAGCTGTCATCTAAAGTGGTGGACGGCTTGCAATTCAGAGGTCTATCCCGGTAACAGCTTTCTGTTGGCTAAATGGTTTTTTCCCCCTGCACTGAGAACGTCAGCCCCCCCTAGAAAAAAAAATGCCCCACAACAAGCCACAAAATCCTGGCTACAGACCTGTGCAAAACAGTCATTTAGTTATGCACTTTTTGCCCTCCTGCTGCCGAGAGCTCAGCTTGCTTCTGGCCAGTAGGGATGGGGGAAGAGGCAACCGTTGTACCACTCTGGTGGGTGACCCCAGAGCCTGAACTTGTCTTGTGCCACACCTTACCAAGCATATCTTCACAACCGTGACAGCTAGAAACTTGATTGTCTCTTTTAAATCCGGTCAGTCATTCTCAGGAAGGAAGGCTCTATGCCCAGGGTCCTTCTTGTGTCCCTGAAGAGCTGCAGAATAAATCAGACATGCGATGAGTTTTAGTCCAGATAGTAGAAGCCTCTGTTTGTTATCCCCAGCCGGTGAAGAAGCGGGGATGGCCAAAGGGCAAGAAGAGGAAGAAGATCCTCCCCAATGGGCCCAAGGCTCCGGTGACGGGCTACGTCCGTTTCCTGAATGAGCGGCGGGAGCAGATCCGCATGCAGCATCCGGATCTGCCCTTTCCAGAGATCACAAAGATGCTCGGGGCTGAGTGGAGCAAACTGCAACTCACGGAGAAACAGGTGAAGCATGTTTCTAGTTTGGAACTGTTGTGTAAGTTATCATCATTACTACTAGTAGTAGGAACACTACTAGGAGGAGGAGGGCACTCACGGAGAAATAGGTGAAGTATGTTTCTCATTTGGAATTGTTGTGTAAATTATCGTTATTACTACTAGTAGTAATGCTACCACCACCGCTAGTAGTAGTAGTAACACGAGGAGGAGGAGGGCAACTTACAGAGAAACAGGTGAAGCATGTTTCTAGTTTGGAATTGTTGTGTAAGCTATCATTATTACTACTAGTAGTAATACTATGACCACTACTACGAGTAGTAACACTACTAGTAAGAGGAGGGCACCCACGGAGAAACAGGTGAAGCATGTTTCTCATTTGGAATTGTGTAAATTATCGTTTTTACTAGTAGTAGTAGTAATATTTCCCCATATGTCCCCCCAAGGGCACTATGGTCGGGGACCCAACATCTTTTGACTACCCCAGGCCTCAGGGACATCAAATTCGCCAAGACTAGGGCCAGGGCCTTTTCGGTGGCGGCTCCTACCTGGTGGAATAAGCTCCCGGAGGAGATTCAGGCCCTGCGGGATCTTGTGCAGTTCCTCAGGGCCTGCAAGACAGAGCTCTTCCACCAGGCTTTCGAGTAGGGGCCGCCGCCGCTACTGTTCCACTAATGCACCGCCGCCGGAAATTGGCGGAGACACCATCAGGGTGCAAGCAGGCCCTGGGAAGAAGACTGGCTATCTGCCGCTTTGGAACTTATGTCACTGGTCTGGATCCACCCTACCGGAATCCATCTTGGAACTGGGAACATCAGAGCACCAGCACTTTGTTGTATTATTGTGATGTTTTTATCTTGTTTTTAATTGTTTTAATTATGACTTGCCCCAATTGTTAGCTGCCCTGAGCCTAAGGGGAGGGCGGGATATAAATCGAATTATAAATAAATAAATACTACCATCACTGCTAGTAGTAGTAGTAACACTAGGAGGAGGAGGAGGAGGAGGAGGGCAACCCACAGAGAAACAGGTGAAACATGTTTCTAGTTTGGAATTGTGTAAATTATCGTTATTACTACTAGTATTAACACTACCACGACTACTACGTATTAGTAGTTAACACTAGTAGTAGTAGGGAAGGAAGAGGTATGGGGGGGAGTAATGTTACTTGGTCTGCTGGCCCTTTTGCTTTTGGATATTGCAACTAAACCTGGGCTGGGATCTGAGCGATTTATAAGCTCTGGTTGATTATGATGCCTGAGCATAGCTGTGGTTTTCCTTCCAGCGATACCTGGACGAGGCCGAGCGGGAGAAGCAGCAGTACATAAAAGAGCTGAGGGAATACCAGCAGTCGGAGGCTTACAAGATGTGCGCTGAGAAGATGCAGGAGAAGAAGATCAAGAAAGGTGCGTTTGCGTGTCCCTTCTGAAGCTGTTCTGCTCGGCGCAAGGCTAGACAGGTTGGAGTCCCCGTGCAGTTTCAAGAATGGAGACTTAATGCCCAGACTGCGTGATGGAGTTAAGTAGAGGCTTCCCAGGAGCCCCGTTTGTGGCAGAGGCTTCCTGTTGTGTCTCTGTTACACTCCTAAGGTGGCAGGAGGTTAAGCTACATCTCTTGAGTGGGGGAGAAGACTGGGATCATTCATTCACTTCTGATGCCATTGTACAGCAAAATTGCTCTCTTTCTCTCTCAAAAGAGGCTGTCTGCCGGTTCTCTGCGTGAGTTACTGCACTGGTGACTCTATAGAAACATGATATGCACATGCCTGAAATTAGATCATTCTGACTTCCACTTTCTAAAAACTAGGCTTCTTTTTCAAATGTAAGTGAAGCATATTCTGATATATATATATTTTTAAGCATGGTTTGGTTCTCTGGACATTAACGGGATAGAGGATTAGGCTGGGATTTGGGGCCTGCGTCTTGCTTGTTGTGCCTCTGAGCGAGTCACCATCTTCCTCTCTCAGCTGATTTCTTGTTGTCGTTAATTCTTCTAGAGGATGCTACATCGGGAGTCATCAACACCCTGCTGAATGGCTACAAGGTGAGTACCTGGCCAGGGTTTGGGGAGAGACCAGGATTCTTGTATTAAGAGCATCAGACCTCCCTTATGTGGCAGTGGGAAATGGGGAAGGGCCGTGGCTCAGTAGCAGAGCAGCTGCTTGGCATGCAGAAGGTTCCGAATTCAGTCCCCGGCATCTCCAGTTAATAGGATCAGGGAGTAGATGAACTGAAAGACCTCAGCCTGAGACCCTGGAGAGCTGCTGCCAGTCGGTGTAGACAGTTCTGACTTTGATGGACCAAGGGTCTGTTTCAGTATAAGCAGGGGTCATTTCCTGCAGGAGCGCACAGGAGCGGAGCTCCGGCAGTAAAGAGCCCAGGGGGCGGGCACATGCAACAAGCCCCACCCCCTGCTCCCAGCAGCCCTCAGGCAGAGCAAGAAGCAGTCAGGGAAGTTGCAGAGCCCACCCCCCGGTCCAAAACAGTCCAGTGGCACCTTTAAGACCAAGTTTTATTCAGGTACAAGCTCTCCCTCCTCTGCGAGGACAGATCTGCACGTTCCCCCCCCCATAGCTAGCAATCCAAAACAGTCCAGTAGAGCCTGAGCGGTGGGTGTTGCCTTCTGACACACTTCCAGTGATGTCAGGGGGTGTGGCACATGCAAATAAGTTATGCTAATGAGCTCCTGCACCTCTTTTTCTACGAAATGACCCCTGAGTATAAGGCAGATTCAGGTGTCAAATTGCAGGGGGGTGGGGGTGGGGGGTAATTTTCCAGCTTCCAGAGTCCCTCCTCAGATATCTTACAGTTCACTTAGCACTAGAGACGTCAAATTTTCGGACATTTTGAAGCTGCAGGAAAAACTTATTTCCCCCAGGTGAGAGGGGGATGGAATTATTTTTTTTTGGGGGGGGGGGACTAAAATTTGTGTAATAATTATTTTTTGTTATTTATTTCTTGAAAATGTTTTTTTGCCACCTTCCTACCCAAATCTTATAAATCCAGTCTTATCCATGCATCATTTATAAATTAGTTGGTATGTAAGGCTCAAGTGCTTAAGACGCTGAACTGCAGGCTGTGGAAGGTCGGTAGTTCAGCAGTTCGAGACCCGGGTGCCGCAAGACGGAGTGAGCTCCCGTCTCTAGTCCCAGCTCCTGCCAAACTAGCAGTTCGAAAGCAAGAAATTGCAAGTAGATAAATAGGTACCACTTTGGTGGGAAGGTAACAGCGTTCCGCGCGCCTTGGTGTTTAGTCATGCCGGCCACATGACCACGGAAACGTCTTCGGACAGCACTGGCTCTTCAGCTTGGAAACGGAGATGGGCACCGCAACCCTAGAGTCGGATTCGACTGGCTTTCGAGCAAGTGAACCTTTACCTTTAAGACAGAACTATGGGGCATATTTATGAAAGTTAGTAGCATAAATTCCTTACAAGTGCCACCACTGATAGTGGGTTTCAGAGTCGGTGGGCTCAGGATCGCAGAACTCCAAAGGTGCAAATGGGTTTTGGTCTGCATCATATATAGCAATTATCTTTCTCTATTGCTAACAATTGTGGCACATAAAAACCTTCATAGTATCTGTATTCACTGAGTACTGGTAATAGTTTGTCTTAAAAAGAGTTTCACTTCTTCCCCCAAATTTCCCAATGTTTTGATGGGGGGAAAGTCCGGGGGGGAGGGGGGAGAGCCAGTTTGGTGTAATGGCTAAGTGCGCGGACTCTAATCTGGGAGAACCGGGTTTGATTCCTCACTCCTCCGCTTGCAGCTGCTGGAGGACCTTGGGAAAGCCATAGTTCTGTCAGAGCTGGATGCCCCAAGAGAAGTGATTTCCTGAGTCTTCTCCTTTCCCCCTCTACACTTTGGCCTTCTTTAAAAAAAATAGTACAGTGAGAGCCAGTTTGGTGTAGTGGTTAGGGAGAACCGGGTTTGATTCCGCACTCCTCCACTTGCACCTGGCTGGATGACCTTGGGCAAGCCATAGTTTTATTTATTTATTTAGGATTTATATCGCGCCCTTCCAAACGACTCAGGGCGGCTAACATACGGTTCTGTCAGAGCTGTTCTCTCAAGGACAGTTCTGTCAGAGCTCTCTCAGCCCCACCTACCTCACTGGGTGTCTGTTGTGGGGAGGGGAAGGGAAAGGAGTTTGTAAGCCGCTCTGAGACTCTTGAGTGAAGGGCGGGGTATAAATCCAATCTCTTCTTCTTTTCCCTCTTGAGTGTTTACAAATTTTTTTCTAGGCATTTCCATCTTTGTTTAACCCATAAAATAACTCTTTGGTATGTTTCACCATTTTGTTTTTTTAAACCTGCATTCTCTTGCTTTTACATGTTGTTTTCAGCCATTCAGTACTGTCGGACTCTTGGCGACTCTATGGGCCAGCTCTCTCCACGTTTTCCGATCTTGTACTGTTTCTTTGAGTCGCTCCATGCTCAGGCTGGTGTCGACTTTTAAGGTGTCTAGCCCCTGTCTTTTTTGGTGGCCCGGTTTCCTTTTACATAGGTGATTATTACTTTAAGGAGACATGAACAACAGGCAGAATTTATCTGTTTGGACCAGTGTTCGTAAAGAAAACCATTATTATTATTATTATTATTAATAATAATAATAATAAGTCAAAATCTAGTCCCAATTATTAGTGCAGCCCATTGGCGCTGTCCATCATGTGCAGAAAAAAACAGCATTTTGCTGTCCACGTTCCCTTCCAAAGGCAGTTGCTTTCGTTATCAGTGCGATCCTAAGCAGACTTGCACGCTTCTAAAATCCACAGAAATCAGTGGGCTTCAAATGGTGTAACTCTGTTTAAGATTACATTGTGGGCATGTTCACACACTCTGACTAATCCACTGTCAGTGCACTTTGCAGCTGGATTTTATTGTGTGAAACAGCAAACATTCATTAAAGGGCATTTGAAAGTGGACTGAGAGTCCATTATTCAGCCTGTGTGTAAGTGTCCTGTATGTCTTTCCTTGCTGTCCACTGAAAATTTGCTTTTTTTATGTTGACTGAACTGGGAAACACCACAAGCAAGAAACAGCAGGGTTTGGTGCCGTTTTTGAAATTATTATATCCCGTGCGCTCAACCACAGAGTTTCTGGCAGTTGCTAGAGCTACCCTTGTCACTTCCAGGTAGCTCTAGGAGTCACCAGGAGCTCTATGACCAGAACTTCCTGTAAGTAGGGGAGCCCTTGTTTTCCTTTTTCAGTTTTTCTCCCGGGATGCCACCACCCTCCCCCCAAAACCCTCCCACTGGTTGTGAGGCACTGCAGATCCCCACTTTTCCATGAAGCTGACTGGGCGACCTCGGCCCAGATGCTCTCTCTCAGCCTAACCTGCCTCGCAGGGTCGTTGCGAGGATCAGTTGAGGAAGAGAGGCGCACAGATGCTGCCATGAGCTCCATGGAGAGATGGCGTGAGAAAATGCAACAGATAGAACATACATGGACAATACCATAAGAAAATGAAGGACAATATTTAACCCACGTTCCAGACTTTAACCGTAAATATATCTTGCGCAAAAAAAAAAAAAAAAAGCACTGGATGCCCCAAGAAAATTGATTTCCTGAGTCTTCTCCTTTTCCCCTCCACACTTTGGCCTTCTTTTTAAAAAGTAGTAAAGCGAGAGCCAGTTTGGGGTAGTGGTTAGGTGCGCGGACTCTAATCTGGGAGAACCAGGTTTGATTCCCCACGCCTCCACATGCAGCTGCTGGTGTGACCTTGTTGTCAGTCACAGGTTCTCTCACGAGCAGTCCTCGAAAGAGCTCTCTCAGGCCCCACCTACCTCACAGTTTGTTGTTGTGGGGAAGGGAAGGGAAAGGAGTTTGTAAGCCGCTCTGAGACTCCTTTGGGTAGTGAAGGGTGGGGTAAAAATCCAATCTCTTCTTCTTTTACCTCACAGGGTGTCTGTTGTGGGGAGGGGAAGGGAGAGGAGTTTGTAAGCCGCTCTGAGACGCCTTTGGGTAGTGAAGGCCGGGGTATAAATCCAGTCTCTTCTTCTTCTTTTACCTCACAGGATGTCTGTTGTGGGGAAGGGAAGGGAAAGCAGATTGTAAGCCGCTCTGAGACTCCTTCGGGTAGTGAAGGGTAGGGGGTATAAATCCAATTTTCTTCTTCAAATTTTCCATGTTTCCCTACTGGACCTTGAGGTTACAACAACATGGCTTTTGGCATCTTCTCCCTGACCTTTGTCCCTCTTTTCTCTTTCCTCCTCTGCCAGGCCGGAGAGGGTGGCAGTGACGGCTTCTCGACGTTTGACACGCCCATATTCACAGAGGAATTCTTGGACCAGAATAAAGGTACCAGTTGGCTCATGAAAGTCAGGGTGGATGAAAGACCTCAAGTATTAGGCACTAGGAAAGACCTCTCTCTGTGCCCCAACCAGGTTAGGCAATATGGAGCTATCTGGACCCAACTGTTATATAATAATAATAATAATTAAGGATTGTCAGGTCAAGGTAATCCTTTAAGGCAGGGGTGTCAAACATGTGGCCCAGGGGCCAGATCAGGCCCCCGGAGGGCTTCTATCAGGCCCACAGTGGAACTGGCTGTCTTCTGCTGCTGCTTCTTCCAGTTCTGCTGCTGCTGTGTCATCGTAGGTCTGCAGCTTACAGATGCACACCTGAACAGCATCCTCAAGATTTTGATGCAGTAATTCAGAGCAAGAGGTGTCAGTTATCAGACACTGTTCAATAAACAAAATATTGCAAGAGTGCTCATGTTTTAAGCATGTTCTTATTTTAAGTTAAAAAAAACCCACCCTCCCTTTTGTTTGTGTCCTTTATAAAGTTTATATCTCCACTACCTGGCATTACATTTCATGACACACACGGCCCGGCTCGACAAGGTCTCATTTATGTCAGATCCGGCCCTCATAAATGAGTTCGACACCCCTGCTTAAAGGGATTTTCAAGGCAAGAGAGGAACAGAGGTGGTTTGCCACTGTCTGCCTTTGCGTGGCTGTCCCAGTCTTCCTTAGTGGTCTTCTGTCCAAGAACTAGCCCGGGCCGACCTTCTTAGTTTCTGAGATCTGTTGCGATTGGGCTAGTGTGGGCCCTGGAGGTGGAACTGCTGTCAGGTTGCAGCCAATTTATGGCGACCCTGTAAGGTTTTCAAGGCAAGAGATGTTCAGAGGTGGGTTGCCATTGCCTGCCTCTGTGTAGCAACTCTGGACTTCCTCGGTGTATCCAAGAACTAACCAGGGCCAAGCCTTTTTGGCTTCTGCGATCTGATGAGATTGGGCTAACCTGGACCATCCAGACTGGGGCACATTTGTGGTGGAGCCAGTTTGGGGTAGTGGTGAAGAGCGCGGACTCTGATCTGGGAGAACCGGGTTTGATTCCCCACTCCTCCACATACAGCTGCTGGTGTGACTTTGGGCCCGTCACAAGCAGTGTTCCCTCTAAGCTGAGTTGGTGTGAGCTAGCTCACAGTTTTTTACCCTCCAGCTCACACATTTTTGTTCTAGCTCAGGAAGGATGGCTCCAGAGCAATGCTCCCTCTAAGCTGTGGAGTCTTGTGAGCAAAAATTCTACTTTGTGAGCTACTGGAATTAAAGTTGTGAGTGAGCGATTTGGCTACTGTATAAATTAGTGTGCTCTGGAGCCATCCTTCCTGAGCCAAGACAAAAATGTGTGAGCCGGAGGCTAAAAAACTGTGAGCTGGCTCACACTAACTCAGCTTAGAGGGAACACTGCTCCAGAGCAAACTCATTTATGCAGCAGCCAAATCGCTTGCTCACAACTTTAATGCCAGTAGCTCACAAAGTAGAATTTTTGCTCACAAGACTCCACAGCTTAGAGGGAACATTGGTCACAAGTTCTCTCAGAGCTGTTCTCTCAGGAGCAGTCCTCGAAAGAGCAGTCGACAAGACTTGCAAAAAATACTTCCTGTGTATTACAGTCTAAATCCCTACAAATCATAAGAAAATCCTAGAACAAAGATAACATCGTCAACGTTGTCTCTGGATTATATAACAACGTTTCAAAATTGGATCTTCCTCAGGAATATCAGAGTGGTACAAAAGCTCTCTTGCTCTTAAAGTGCTTTACATCAAGTCATGAAAGATAATACAGTTCATTCAAGTAGGACGCTGATCTCAATATGTTCAGGCTCAGATATGGTACTAAGCTTCTAATAGATCCCAGCAGGGGTCATTTCGTAGAAAAAGAGGTGCAGGAGCTTATTAGCAAAACTCATTAGCATAACTTATTTGCATATGCCACACCCCCTGACATCACCGGAAGTGTGTCAGTAGCCAACACCCACCGCTCAGGCTCCACTGGACTGTTTTGGATTGCTAGCTATTGGGGAGGGGGGGAATGCGCAGATCCTCATGCTCCTCGTGGCCCGGGGCTGCTGGGAGCAGGGGGCGGGGCTTGTTGCATGTGCCCACCCCCTGGGCTCTTTACTGCCGGAGCTCCACTCCTGTGCGCTCCGGCAGGAAATGGCCCCTGTATCCCAGGCATCTCAGATATCAGAGATCACCTGTATTCGCCCCGACTTTGGGGGCAGCGGGAGGCAGGAGAACAGATGGCCCAAACTCACCCATGCCTTTTGTCCCCCCTGCCCCACCCTGCCCCTCGGAGCAGCCCGGGAAGCAGAGCTGCGACGCCTGCGCAAGATGAACACGGAGTTTGAGGAGCAGAACGCCATTCTGCAGAAGCACACGGAGAGCATGAGCTGTGCCAAGGAGCGCCTGGAGCAGGAGCTGGCCCTGGAGGAGAGGCAGACGATGGCCCTCCAGCAGCAGCTCCAGGCCGTGCGCCAGGCTCTGACGGCCAGCTTTGCCAGCCTGCCCATCCCAGGTAAGGGGGGGGGGGGGGCCTGATTCTGGAGCACTGTGGGAGCCAAACCCTCTTCAGCTGCCACCACGACACAAGGGTCCGCACTGCGTCACTGAAGTTATTTATTTATTTATTTATTTATTTATTAAATTTATACCCCGCCCTTCCCCGTGGGGCTCAGGGCGGCTTACAAGGCAAGAAAGAACTTGCTGATAAAACATCAATACCATAATACAATTAAAACATCATGTACAATTTAAAATCCATTTAAAACATTAAAGTGCTCAAAAATTAAATGCATCGGAGTCTCAGAGTCTCAGAGAGGGCGACCCCCGCCCTAGCACAGCCCAAACATTTCCAGTAGGCATTGGTAATATTTTAGATGTTACCAGATGTTTCTACCTGGCCTCCTGAGCCTTAGTTCCCCCCCCCCCAAAATGGTATATCTGTTAGACTGCGGCAGCCATTTTGGGGACCTCCCTGCCTGAGGGAATCGTTCCAAAGCGTCAGCTCCGTAACTAGGGACATTTTGGGGAGGGGGCCATGGGGGGCAGGAAGCTAATTTAATCAAAAGTCCCAGAGCAAGTGGGGGGGGGTAATGTCCAGCAGCTGCAGGACTCACGTGTACACCAACCACTGGGAGGTGAGGATAAGTGGTGGGCTCCCCGAAGCCAACAGGATAGCTAGCAAGTACGGCTACATCAATATAGGTAAACCTTCGCCGCCGCCAGCAGGCCACGCACTCTCTCGGCCACTCCAAACACTTGTCTTTTCTTTTCTTCTGGCGACCTCCTTTCCGAGATGTCCCCTTTCCTCAACACCTTCGTTTCGGTCCCTTCATTTCTTCTCCCTTTCCCTGCCTCTCGGCGTTCCTCCATTTTTTTTTTTTTTAACTTCCTTCACTTGCTGCCTTTGACTTGGTCCCGTTTCCGCAGGAACCCTGACCCGAGCAGAGTCTTAGCCAGGTCTACTCAAGTTGCCTGACGCCCAGGAAATCGCTTTTTAAATTAGTGTGTGTGTGTGTGTGTCCCCGTATTTTCTGGCTCAGCCCTTCCGATCTCCCTTTCCTTTCCCAGAAAACCTTGTTGTGTTTGTTTCGCGAGGGACTTTGAGGTTTCGAGTCAGTTTCAGCATGCTGGTCAATGTCACGCCGCAGCACCCCCGGCTTGGCAGAAGGCCGCTTCTCTCCCCCTCCCGCTTTTGACATCCTGCAAAGATTACCGCCCCCCCCCCCCAGTTAAAAATAGGTGTGGCTGTCTTCCACTCCAGGTCTTTGCAGTCTGAAGATTTAAGTGGGGGTGTTTCTCAGTCAGAGTGCAAAGCGGCACGCAGGTGGTGAGTTGAGGCACTTCAAGGACAGCCCGGGAGGAAGGTGGCCCAGAAAAAACGGGAGAGGGCCGGGCCCCATGGTCCCCACGTTAGCTATGGGCTTGCAAAACGCAGTCCTCCATCTGAAGTGGTGTGGCCCATGTTTCCACCTCGGTGGTCTGCCGCCTCATTTCTCCTGCGTGTGTGAACCAGGTCAAGATCTTAGGATTGGGGACGGAGCCGTGGCTGGGGATCAGAGGACTTAACTTTGCATGCAGAACTCCCCTTTTTCAAGGTTAAAAAAGGGGTCTGAAATTAGGAAACAGACTGAATGCCCATCTGAGTGGATGGTTCCGAGCTGAAGGGGCCACAGGCCCGACTGCCTAATGTAGATCTGTATCTGATACTCCCTCAGTTTCTGTGTGTTAAACCGGCCCGTCAAAAGTACAAAAACTGCTGTTGGGGGCAGACCTCTGCTTCTAGTTGACAAAAAACCAATCTCTGCCAAGATTCTAGTCCTCAATGTTGCATACAGAGGCTCAAAGCTTAAGGCAGGTGACCTGAGGCTTTCAGATGTTGGGGGCAAGTCCTAGTTCCCTGCCCCCCCGGGGGGCCTGGTAGAATAAACTATTTATTTATTTATTCATTAGATTTGTTTCCCGCCCTCCCCGCATAGCAGGTTCAGTGCGGGTTCTATCAACTATAATACACAAACAATTAAAAACAATTAAAATGCATCAGATAAAATACAATTATTTCCAATGTTTCTAACTGAAGCCTCAGCAGATGAGGTCTGTTTCAGATTGGGGTTCCCAGATGGCAACACGGATATGACCCGCTGAAGGGGAGGCCCAATAGAGGGGAGGACGCCTGCCGCCGCAACTAAGAGCCTGGCGGAAGAGCTCCGTCTTGCAGGCCCTGCAGAACTGTAAAAGGTCCCGCAGGTCTCTGATCTCATACGGGGGCTCATTCCACCAGGTAGGGGCGAGGGCCGAAAAAGCCCTGGCCCTGGTTGAGGCGAGGCGGACGTCCCTGGGGCTGGAAACCACCAGGAGATGCTGATTAGCAGATCGGGGCTCACAGGGGGAGAGGCGGTCTCGCAGATATGCAGGCCCCTGGCCGTCTAGGGCTTTGAAGGTAAGCAGCAGCACTTTTAATTGGATCCGGGACTCAATAGGCAGCCAGTGCAGTTTGCGCAGCTCGGGGTGGGTACGCGTCCACTATTCAAAATGTGTCAATATTAATTTGCATGTTATGCTGGAGTTGGGTTCTGCCCAGGGTCACGGATGGAACTGACCTCCCCGACAGGTACGGGAGAGACCCCCACTCTTGGCACTCTGGATTTCTACATGGCTAAGCTGCACAGCGCCATCGAGAGCAACCCCGTGCAACACGAGAGGCTGGTGGTCCGTGTGAAGGAGATCCTGTCCCGTATTGCCAGGTGAGCGAGGAGCTTATCCCCAGAGGGGAGCAGGGCTTGTGCAAGGTAGGCTTCATCCTGGGAGGGGGTGTCGTCTCCATGGCGGGGGGGGGCTGTTGGGGCTTCCGTCTGAGTGGTTATACGATGCACCCCAGTCTCTGTGGGTCCTGCAGCGTCTTCCACCCCTGCTGGTTCCTCTAAGTGCCCGAAGAAGACAGCAGCCTTCGGGTTGTTGAACTCTGTGGTCACAAAGGGGCCAGTTCGGACAGGGGAGTGCCCTTAAACAGATGGAGCACTGAGCCCCTCGTGTTCAAGGACACGGAACCTTGGGACGAAAATTAAACTTCTGCACCCTCTGCCCTGTCCCCAAGCCACAAAAACAAAATAGGACCCATGGTAAGTAGGAAGTACCAAAAATCAGCAAATACCGTACTACAGACGATTATATAATATCTCAAATAATTTTAATACATGTTTTTGTTTTATATTTTTACAATTTATTCACCATATATTATTTATCATATAAGCCTTGATACATAGAAAAAATCATATATCAAAACATCTAAGTATCGTCTCTTAATATATCACAAAAGATATTGTACAACCCCTTTATTAATATCAGTTCTCCTTAATTATACAAAAGTTTTCAGAGGGAGGACTCCTTTCAGTTTATTTTGAATAAGTGCTCAGTCTTCCTCCAACAGAGGTCCAGATATCCTCCTGTTTCAGGGTCTTCCTCAGGGAGTTCAACAGATATTTCCAAGTACAAGGTTGCCAAATACCAAAATATTTATCCAGATTTTTCATTGAACGCTGCTTTTCACTTTGGAAGAAGCTTTGAGCTCACGAAGAGAGACTTTTTGCAGCGTTCACACAGAAAGAGTGTGTCAAGGTGAGAAGAAAAATGGTAGGCAGGTAATTTATATCTACTCAGGAAGGAGGGGTAGGGCTGAGTCATTCTCTTGTAGGAGTTCCCCAGGCTGTGAACATGCTAATGGAGGAGCTTTCCTGAGGAGGTTCTTTTGTATATGGATTGTTTCCTGAGGAGGTTTCCCGTTTCCTGAGGAGGTTCTTTTGCATGTGGATTCTAATCTTATCAGTTGCAAAAAAGGTTTGACTTCTGCCTCTTTTTCCTACCCAGCGAGCACTTGTGAGCAGCCACGGATCCTCCAGCACAGCTCAACCACTTTTGGACTGTGACCTCCTCTCCACAGTGTTGCCGGACGCCCCTTCGCAGAATGGCCGGCTTCAGCCTCCGGAGCATCTCCCTGTGCCTCTTCTCTTCAAGGAGCCTTAACTATCTCCTTTCCTGTAACTCTCCCTTCCGGGCCCAAACTTGCCTGCCGGGCCAGTAGATTTTGGAGTTCTGCACAGCATAGTGGACTTTCTTGCCCTGGGTGGGATGCCGAATTTGACGCTCTGTGGAGTTTGGATTTTTTTTCAAAGCACAGCTTCCAGGTTTTGCCTCTGGGGGGGGGATTTGCAGTGGGAAGCTGCAACTGCAAACCCAGGTTGGTTGTCGGTAGCTCCCACCCACAGTGGCCTGTATGTGCAGCCTCACCGTGGAGCAGCATTGGATCTTTTTGCTGCCCGGAGAGGGGACTACAAGCCCTGGGGGTGTGGCTGGCCACTGTGGGAATCCTAGGCCACCAGGTTTGAAACCACTAGAACACATAAGGAAATGGCTGTTACGCAGAATCATTTCTTCTAGTCCGGACAGAGCGGTCTGTCATAGGTGGTAGCAGTCCTGGCATTCGGCGAGCCAAAGTCGTCTTCCTCACTGTCCCTGCTAGGACATCTCTTTTTCCCCCAAACGGTTCTCCTCTTTGAACTTCTTAGGATACCTGAGAAACTGCCTTATAGTGAGTTGGACTTCTGGCCGACTCTAGTTGTATTGCCTCCTCTGCTGGGTGGCTTCTCTCCAGGGTCTTGTCTGGAGAAAGCCCTTATCAAAGAGATAAGTGCATCAGAAGAGTCCTGCTGGATCAGACCGATAGTCCATCAAGTCCATCATCCCGCCTCACACAGTGGCCAGCCAGTTTCTGTGGAGGACCAAAGACAGGGCATAGAGGCCGAGGCCTTCCCCTCATAAGAACTTAAAAAGAGCCCTGCTGGATCAGACCAAGAGTCCATCTAGTCCAGCATCCCGTCTCACGTGGTGGCCAGTCAGGTCCAGTGGAGGGCCAACAACAGGGCACAGAGGCCGAGGCCTTCCCCTCATAAGAACCTAAAAAGAGCCCTGCTGGATCAGACCAAGAGTCCATCTAGTCCAGCATCCCGTCTCACGTGGTGGCCAGTCAGTTCCTGTGGCGGGCCAACAGCGGGGCACAGAGGCCGAAGCCTTCCCCTCATAAGAACCTAAAAAGAGCCCTGCTGGATCAAACCAATAGAGGTTAATAGAGACCAATAGAGGCCTTTCCCTCATAAGAGTCCATCTAGTCCAGCATCCTGTCTCACGTAGTGGCCAGTCAGTTCCTGTGGAGGGCCAACAACAGGGCACAGAGGCCGAGGCCTTCCCCTCATAAGAACCTAAAAAGAGCCCTGCTGGATCAAACCAATAGAGGTTAATAGAGACCAATAGAGGCCTTTCCCTCATAAGAGTCCATCTAGTCCAGCATCCTGTCTCACGTAGTGGCCAGTCAGTTCCTGTGGAGGGCCAACAACAGGGCACAGAGGCCGAGGCCTTCCCCTCATAAGAACCTAAAAAGAGCCCTGCTGGATCAGACCAAGAGTCCATCTAGTCCAGCATCCCGTCTCACGTGGTGGCCAGTCAGTTCCTGTGGCGGGCCAACAGCGGGGCACAGAGGCCGAAGCCTTCCCCTCATAAGAACCTAAAAAGAGCCCTGCTGGATCAGACCAAGAGTCCATCTAGTCCAGCATCCCGTCTCACGTGGTGGCCAGTCAGTTCCTGTGGCGGGCCAACAGCGGGGCACAGAGGCCGAAGCCTTCCCCTCATAAGAACCTAAAAAGAGCCCTGCTGGATCAGACCAAGAGTCCATCTAGTCCAGCATCCCGTCTCACGTGGTGGCCAGTCAGTTCCTGTGGCGGGCCAACAGCGGGGCACAGAGGCCGAAGCCTTCCCCTCATAAGAACCTAAAAAGAGCCCTGCTGGATCAGACCAAGAGTCCATCTAGTCCAGCATCCCGTCTCACGTGGTGGCCAGTCAGTTCCTGTGGCGGGCCAACAGCGGGGCACAGAGGCCGAAGCCTTCCCCTCATAAGAACCTAAAAAGAGCCCTGCTGGATCAGACCAAGAGTCCATCTAGTCCAGCATCCCGTCTCACGTGGTGGCCAGTCAGTTCCTGTGGCGGGCCAACAGCGGGGCACAGAGGCCGAAGCCTTCCCCTCATAAGAACCTAAAAAGAGCCCTGCTGGATCAGACCAAGAGTCCATCTAGTCCAGCATCCCGTCTCACGTAGTGGCCAGTCAGATCCTGTGGCGGGCCAACAAAAGGGCATAGAGGCCGAGGCCTTCCCCTGAGGTTGCCTCCTGGCTCTGGGATTCATAGGATTAGAACCTCCGTCTTCTCGCTTGCTGGTCACGCGCTCTGCCACTCAGCTCTCAGCCCTCTGGCTAAAGCAGACAAGCAGAAACTGTAGATTTTGTCTTACGAAGCTGCCTCGTGCAGAATCAGTGCGCTGTTTTAGAACTGCCTGCTCTGGCTGCCTGCGGCTTTCTGACAAGAGAAAGGCCTTCCCCAAACCTGTGACAGGAAATCTTTTTTTTTCCAAACCAGAGATGTCAGTGATTGAACCAGGTACCCTTCTGCACGTAAAGAAAGGCGCTCTGAGCTGGGTGTACTCCCTGGTGTTTTTGAGGGTTAAAGCCTGCCCGGGCCTTTACTGTCTTGTGGGAATTCAGTCTGCATTTGTTCAAGGTTGTTCCCCGTTTCCACGGCAGCAGGACATGAGTGATTGCTCTTGACAGTTGACGTCACAAGAAGCTCGCCCCTCTTCTTCGAAAATAAAAGATTCCAGGCCTCACGGCTGCAACTAAATGTCCAGGCAGTGGTTAGAAGTCAGAGACAGAATGACGAGCTGGACTTCTCGTGAGGAGAGACGAGGGCCGGGGTGGGGGGCGGCTTCAAAGAGTGACCTGGTTTCTCATCCTTCTTCAGGGCCAGAACGGGCACTAAAAATGCATATGTTTGAATAATACTTTGCATAATTATATCTAGTTGCAGGGATCGGTTTGCCAATGAAGAATTTCACTTATTTTGGCATAAAATTTGGATGTAAATATTTATTTTTAGCAAACACACCCACCCCCTGATCCCCTTTCTCCTGTAGCTCATGGAGCAAAAAAAACCCCCTCTCTCTTCTTTCCTTCCTGTCTCTTGGTGAATTAGTTCCAGTGCGCTATATATATATTCTTAATCTCTTATTTTCTTAGTTTTGTGTACTGAACCAAAAAAAGAGAGGCTATTTTAGTGATAAGGGAAGTGGTTATGGATGCAGGGACTGTTTGTGAGCGTAAAATAAAATATTTTTGAAAAACCCACAAATAGGTTTGTAGAAATTGGCTGCCTTCCCCTCCCCCCCGCCCAGCTTCAAGACTGTTACTTGTTTTTTCATATATTATTTTTTATTTTTGCAAAACAAAAAAAAAATTGTATTTTCCTAAGAAATCTGTGGTATCACGCACATAACTAGGAACATTAATGGCATGGGCTCTTAGAATAAAGTCCGTGGATCCAGATACCCACACAGCAAGAGTGCCTATGGGGTATCCTGGGTTGCAAGGCTTGTGTATTTTCAGTAGAAGGTAAAAGGTACCTGGTCGAGGTTCCCGTGGTGTGTCCAGTGTTCTCTCTAAGCTGACTTAGTGTGAGCTAGCTCACAGTTTTTTAGCCTCCGGCTCACACATTTTTGCCTTATGCTCAGGAAGGGACGGCTCCAGAGCAAACTGATTTCTGCAGTAGCCGAATCGCTCGCTCACAACTTTAATGCCAGTAGCTCACAAAGTAGAATTCTTGCTCACAAGACTTCACAGCTTACAGGGAGTATTGGGTGTGTCTTCTTCTTTTCTTTTCTTTTTTAATTTTAATAAACGATTTTATTAGAAGATAAGTCAAATATACATAAACAAGATTACTGTTTAAACTATAATACAGACTGTAAGTGCAAATTCATTTAACACAATGCCATCTATAAACTTATCAGTAGGAACAGCTTATTACCGTGACCTTGTCCCTTTCTTGTTATTTTCCACTTGTTCCACTAGAGTAGTAACGTATAATAAATCCAGATATATTTTAGAAGGACCTTAAAAGTATTTTATGAGAGTGCTCGAACCATAAAAAATTATCATAGATGTATCCAATCTGCATAGCTAGGATTTGCTGGTAAAACATCGCTGCCTCATGGAAAAATCCTGATCCTCCTTCTATTGACCAATGGAGAAATAAATGTTGGGACCACTTTGTGATGGATAAAGTAGCAGATAAATATGAGTCACACACACAAGGGTATGCGAGGTCCCATTCCAGATTCATTCGAAAATGGTGTCCTCTTATAACATACTTTACAGAAAACGATGTATTGGGTGTGTCTGAACGGATTTTCCCCCCTGTATGTGCAGGGGTAATTCTTTCATGATCTTGTTTAGTTCTTGTTTTCTATTCCTATGTGGGATCTGAGGATAGTCGATCATAAAAAGCAGCATTTGTAAATGGTCTTTGAGCCTCCTGGATGTAGTTTGAGTTATCCATCAAGACCATAAGCCATTAATGCTCCTAGTTTATGTGTGCGACACCACAACTACATCAAATCTGGTAACAACCTGTACCTTCAGATTACTGGTTCAGCCATGGGCAACCACATGGCGCCGCAGTATGCGAACATCTTCACAGCTGATTTGGAGCAACACTTCCTACACTCCTGCCCACTCACACCTCTCCTACACCTGTATTACACTGATGACATTTTTATTGTCTGGACACATGGTAAAGAAGCCCTGGACATATTCCACCAGGCATTCAATGACAATGAACCAATCTATCCAAGAAATACATTTTCTAGACACCCCAGTACAAATACACAAGGGATGCATAGACACCACCTTATACCAGAAACCTACTGATCGACAAACATATCTACATGCATCCAGCTACCATCCTAAACATACCGAACAATCTATCGTCAACAGCCAGGCTCTTCGCTACAACTGCATCTGTTCCAATCCTACAGACAGAAATTCTCACCTGAGGGATCTACAGCAAACCTTTTTGGAATGAAAATATCCACCTGATGAAGTCAAGAAACCAATTAACAAAGCCAGAACGATGCCCAGAAAAAAAGCCTGTTAGAAGACAGGCCCAAAAGAGACAATAACAGAACACCACTAGTAGTCACATACAGCTCTCAACTCAAAATAGTTCAACACATTATCAATGACTTGCAACCTCTACGGAATAATGACAGTTCTCTTTCACAAGCACTGGGAGGAAAACCTTTTTTCTTTCCCCCCGTCCCCCCCCCCCCCCCCAATCTTGAACAAATCTAACTTGAACATGGACACTGTTACCAGAGCTTGCAGTAAACCCAGATATCAACTTTTCTGCCACATACACCCAAACAACACAGTCACTGGACTTAACAATGTCAACTATGCCATCTCAGGCTTATTCACTTCATCTTCTAACACTGTGGGTGCGTTCAGACGGGGCATTTATGCCAGTATAGATGCCAGCTGGAATCGGTGTACTTACGGGCGATCTAACGGCGAACTTTCTGCCTTCCGTCCCTAACCGTTGCAAACAGCTTTAAACCGTTGTATTCTGCTACTAGGTCCCCAAGTGGTGGTATCCTGAGTGCACCGGTTCCAGCCGCATTATCCCTATCTGATTGCTCTCCGCAGGTGTCTAGCCACTTCCGTTCGGAAGCCTGAGGCTTTTCGGCCGCCATTTTTTTTAGCCTCCTCGATGTGTGCTTGGGCGAAGCTTCACCCTGGCGTTTGTAAAACAAACAAAAAAAGATGCTTAGTTTTAGGCTGCGGACGAGTCTGGGACCTCACGGGGCCCCTTTTCGCTG